AGGCACACCTGTCTGTTTAAGTAAATAAATGCATTGGGCGATATACATACGTTATATTTGTATATTCTCTGTGCCCACTCACAGTATCTATTTAGACATAGGCATGCTTACATATATGTACCCACTTTCACTTAGAGTTTATTTCAACATGTATCATCACTGCAGTTCTATGTATTCACATTTCTGTATCTTGGAACTTCTATGTTGGCTTATCCACCTTGTAACACATAAATCTCTATTTAGGTTATGTGCATTTAGACTTACTATGTAATGCATTGCAAGTGTGGACAGCTCTATGCAGACTTGTTTCTATTTTAAATTCCTTCATATATAAAACATACAATTTTTTGGCATTTAAATGATTTTTATTTTTTAATTTACATATACTCGAGTTATTTTTCTATTGTAAGACCTATTTACCTCTATTTAGAATTTTATATTATGAAATTATTTGTATTATGTAGCATAGCTTTTACATTTTATATTTAATATATTAATATTATTTTAAGATATGTTATAATGAGTTATTTCTCTCCATTTCAGCAGAGAAAACAGACAAACATGAGGAGCGTGTCTCGGTCTTTATGTGGAATTCTCTGCTGTGCCTGCAAACAGTGTCACTGGACTGGGTGGTCCTGGGGACAATACTGAGTAGTACGGGTGTCCACAATTATTGCTGCAGTTTATAATTTGTGATCTTAACTTCATTACTGAGCCAAAACCGTGAGAGTTAGTCCCTGTTACCCTGGAAGCCTCTAGGACACAGCACTGCTGTTTGTGCCTCTAGTTATTTAGCTGGATGTTGTGGGTCAGACACGTACAGCAAAAATAAAAATCAATTGTAGGCATGAAGTGCACATTATTGATGAGCAGAAATGACAAGGACTTGATCTTTGGGGAATGTTTCCACAATTTAATTATTTCTCTAGTGTTTGACCCAGAGTAATTAAAAACTGGGGGATGTTTTGCAGCAAACCCACCACCACCAAAAAGCCAGTGAGGTGGCTTCTGGCCCTGGAAAAAAAATATTCTGTCCTCATCACTAATTATTTTGTTACTAAAGCCTGAATGTTGGTGTTAGAGTCTGTAAGTAGTCACATCTCCAGAATGTCTGGACTAAGGTAAAGAGCAGCATTGACACTATAAAATTGTCACTGCTACGCAAATTAATTTTCCCTCCCAACTTGTCAAGTTGTCATTTGACTGAAACACCATTTAAAATGAGATGATGCATCCCAGGACATGATGTGCAGGTCACTGAATGTTTGTCTGGACCTTTATCTTCTAGGGAACAAGTGGATCCCAGCCACTGTAGTTCAGTCTCACCACCCACTTGGGATTTCCAAACAAAGCTTCAGCATCTTTGCAGGAGGTGGGGGGGTCTCTGGACCACTTCAACAGACCTAGAATTTAAAAATGTTACCTACTTGAAGAACCTGCTGGAAGAGACGTGTTAGGAAACCTGCTCGGAGCGTGTTTCTAGAGACGGGCTGCAGACCAACAGCTTCCCAAAGGGATCAGCACTTCAGGCAAGTTGTCACTGAGCTGTGAAATCGGACGTGACCCATTGACTGATCCTCAGCACCAAAATTAAAAGATAATGATTAGTTCTTTAGAGATCTCAGCAGGGGAAGTTTGTTTGTCCTATAGAGGGCACTTGGATCAGCAATACACTTTTGCAGGGCGCTGAGAAGAATAATCTAAAAGAGCTTTATACTGTTAGATACACTTCTTAACTCATGTTGATCCTAGTGGTGGGGTCACACATTAATACCTGGCTCCAGGACAGTCTTTGTGCACAAACCAATGATATTTCTTTCCTTGTCTTTCTGTTTCTAAAATGAGGTCTCTTTCTCTCCCTCTCCCCAGCATTTTTTGCAGGTATTTTATAAAGTTTAAGGTGTTTGAAAGGGTGTTTCCCAGGCTACCATCAGTCCCCAAAATGTGCTGTACCAGTCTCATTGGCTCAAAAAAAAACTGAGTAGATTTTAAGCTGTCTTAAATATTTTTTTTTCAGCCCATTAATTATATCAATTAATATATGTGGCCCTTGCATCCCTAAACCCCTAGGAAACCCCTGTTTTTGAGACTGTGCATTTTGTGCGCTCTTTTATTCTGGAAAATATTTCAGCCTGTTCTCAGTGTTCTTTCTGCTGAGGTCACGTGGGGGGTGGCTGAAGGGCTTGGATAAGAGGCCCATCTGGTCTGCTTTTACAGGCTGTATGTAAGTATCACTATCAAGAAGAATTATTGACATCTTTAATATGTCTGACACTTAGACTGGAATGATCATTACTTGCTCCTAAAAAGAAATACTGAATTATATGAACAGGGAAAATTATGTAAAACGGTTGTCACACTCCAGGATGTTTTAAAGAAGTCAGTATGACAAGTGAGATGGCATAAGTAGAATAAAAGACAGGTACAGAACTGTAGAATATAAGCACGGATGCTGTCTATGAAGAGGGAGTGAATTTGGAGGGGCCAAAAGTATTACCAGTGGCTTTTTACATCTGCAGAAATTATTAATTACAGTATTTGGGAGGATTTACAGTCTTTGCTTTTGCATAGCCAAGCTGAGTGTTCATTGCTGCTGAGATATGTAAACTAAAACTTAGTCTGAAAGTTTTCTTTTGTTCTGTTTGCTTGAGGCTGAGATCATTGCTAAAACTTTGAAAGTGCGGGAGACACAAAGGGAGACACTAATCTGAAGGAAGTTAAAGCTGCACTTTTCTAGCTTTTAAAATAAGATCCTTTCACCAGTCACAGTTAAACTGTGCTTGGAGCAGCAGTAGACTGAACAACAGATTGATTTTCTCCTCCCTTCTCTCCTAGCAAATATAAATTCAATGTGCAAAGCTTGCACTCCATCACTTGCTCCTGCAGTGAAATAAACTGCTTATAATGTGAATGTTTCTGCCACGGGAGGAAGATGGCAGGGCCTGTGACTGGGGGTCGGACTTCGCAGATCTTTAACTTCACACATTTTTGTAAAGGAAGGTATGTTGTACTTTCAATTTGCCATTTATTTTTAATTTGTTTATCTTTAAAAATCTAACTTCCCTATTTGTATACCAATTTGCAAGAGTAATTTCATATTTAGTAGACTGCCTTAACATGAGGTTTCCTCTATGTTCACTGGGTCTGCAGTCGTAAGATGGAAATTTCCATTTGATTGCTGAACAATCCCATTTGAATAGAAAACACTTTTATCCTTAAAAAAAACCCAGATTATTCTGGTTTTAGTATAAGTGAATTCTACTGAACTGTCCATGCCATGAAAAGGTAAATCTACAGATGTATCATTTATTCCCACAGATTAACAAAAATATTTTGTTAGTGTAGACAATAACAAAAACACTGAAAAGGAATTTAAAAACTTGCCCACAATGTAGTATTTTGTAAGAGAGAAAGAAACAAACATACAAAAGAGAAGCAAGATGTGTGATTACACACATATATCACCAGGTTATCTGTACTCAGATGGTAGCTTAGGAAAATGCTGGTAAAGAGTTTCACATAAATAATTTATTTTCCAGAGAATCAGGCCCAAAGAGCAAAGCTTCACACCCAGGCCAACTATTCTGTATTTCAAGTGCAGGTGTCATTGGTCAGAGGAAATGGCACCAGTTATGGTGATTCTACTTATTTTTTTATTGTTGACATCTGGAAACAAAAAACAATTCTGCTTGCTAAAGTAGATGCTTAAACATTTTTTAATTCAACAATGCAATTTGACTGAGATGTTTTATTCCTTCTCAAATTCCTTTGTATAAGCAATTTTCACTGCAAAACAGTAACTGGACCTTACCATAACTCCAGCTGCAACGTGGGTCTCAGAACATCTGAATAGGAGGACCCAGAAATACTCCTTTTCCTCCCTGAACACACAGGTGCTGCTCTCAGCTGCTGTCAGATGGTGGCTGAGGCAGCTGCATCACACCCTGGAAGCCCTGCCAGGCAGGCACCTTCGTTCCACCGATCCAATGCAGACTAATGCATCAGTGTTTAATACCTCATCATGATGTTCTTATCAGGGTTTCTTTTACTGATCAACTAGACATGACTGGATGATGCATTTCTCCATCTTGCAGATAAGAGTGAATAATACCCAGGTTATCCATGGGCAGTGAGACCTGCTGCAATGGTTACAATGTGGTTTGTGTTGATTTTTTCATAATGTGTTAGAAGGACTGCAGCTTTTACATTGTTTGACACTTCTTTCTCTCATACATTTTAGTGTTAAGATGGCAGAATAACCATGGGAGACTGGAATTTCCTTGGAGGCATTTTAGAGGAGGTCCACATTCACTCCACTATTATTGGAAAGATTTGGCTAACGATCCTTTTCATATTTCGAATGCTTGTCCTGGGGGTGGCAACTGAGGATGTTTGGAATGATGAACAATCAGAATTTATCTGCAATACTGAACAACCTGGTTGCAGAAATGTGTGCTATGATGAGGCCTTTCCCATCTCTCTCATAAGATACTGGGTCTTGCAAGTCATATTTGTGTCTTCCCCTTCCTTGGTCTATATGGGTCATGCCTTATACAGACTAAGAGCCTTGGAAAAGGAGAGGCAGAAAAAGAAAGCTCAGGTAAGGGTGGAACTTGAAAGCACTGAATTAGAAATGACTGAAAATCGGAAAAGGCTGGAGAGAGAACTCCGGCAGCTGGACCAAAGGAAGCTGAACAAAGCACCCCTGAGAGGCTCATTGCTCTGCACTTACGTGGTACATATTTTCACAAGATCTGCAGTAGAAGTCGGTTTTATGATTGGGCAGTATCTTCTTTATGGCTTCCATCTAGATCCCCTTTATAAATGTCAGAGAGAACCATGTCCAAACACAGTTGACTGCTTTGTATCTAGACCAACAGAAAAGACCGTGTTCATATTATTCATGCAATCAATAGCAACTGTATCATTGCTTTTAAATATTCTGGAAATTATCCACCTGGGATTCCGGAAAATTAAAATGGGACTCTGTGGGCAGCATAAAAACAAGGACGATCTTGACAATTGCTATGTAAACAAATCTAAAAAGTACTCTGACATACCACGCTCCTCTTTGGGAATATCCACCACCCCTCAAAAAACTCTTCCTTCTGCACTTACAAGTTATACCTTTTTAATGGAAAAGCAAACTGACACAGCTGCCCACCCGGTTCTGAATTCTCCTCCCATGTTTCAGTCTGGAAAAAATAACTGCACAGAAAGCAGCAGCAATTTCACCCATGGCAACCAGGAAGATAAATCACCAAAGAAGAGGGCAGCTACAAATGCTCTGGACAATCAGACTCAAAATATTAGTACAAATAATTATGAAGGCTTGCTTGGCAAGCTTGGGACTGAAGTGCACGATGCTGAAAAAGATGCAAAGAAAAAATGCTTCACTGGCACTGAGAATGCAGATACAGCCTCGAGTATTTGCCTGAGAACCTTGGCTGAAATGCCATCTCATCCCCCACTGCAACCTGAAACAGCTTCTCCTAATACTGGTTTCAGAAGACAACATGGAATCAGTTCATCTTGGAACTGCTCAGCAATAATTGAGAGTGCAGGAGCTTCAACAAGTTCTCTTCCTGAGAACAGTGACAGAGTGCAAAGCAGTCTCAGTGCAAACAAAGCCCAACCTCCTTACAATGCTGACACCAACAATTCCAGGCGCCCAGACTCTCCAGACTCTACATGGGAGGTGAGCTCAGAATCTAAACAAAGCAGAAATGGTGATAATCCTAAACCTTTCTCTGTGTCCAGGCAGCCGTCCCCGTCGAGCAGCGGCAGCAACAGGCGCGTCCCCACCGACCTGCAGGTGTAGCCAGGTGGGCAGGCCTGGGGCGCCGGGCACGGGGCGTAACCACGACCTTGTGCACGAGCAGCTGCTCCTTAACCAGCTGCTTTACACAGACAGAAAAGCTGTGTAGCCCTTTGGGTCTTGTCTCAGTAACTTTCAAACAGCTTCTTCCTTTGTAATTAAAGGGTGGCTTAAGTGTCACTACCAACTATAAAGTAAAACATACATTGTATAAGTTACATAATAAGAAAAGTCAGGCAGAAAATCACAACTGATGCTATTTAAACTGAATAAAAATAGAAGACCAAATTTACAGTCTAACAACTTATTTTTATGAAGGCCAGTAGAAGAAATGTAGCTAAAGATGGCACTGGTGCTCTCAGGAGAAATTAATTATCAGTAAATATGTTTGTTCTTAATCTCACTGAGAAGTCAAACAGGCATTTGAGAGGTGCCTGAAAGCAGAACGTCAGATGTTCCACTGTTGGAGCTGTGCTACATACAAAAAGAACAAAACTTCTGAAGATGGATCACTAATTATTTGACTCCTTTGTGCACTTTTTCAGTGTCTCACCCCAGAGTTCCACAGCAGAAAAATCCAAGTTAATCTCTTATTGTACTGTTACCATTACATACATTATTACATTTTCAAAGCATCATGAATTACAAAATAGTTTTTAGCTTTAATTAATAACACTAACAAGTTAGCCTTTTAAAAAAATATTTTTAAGAAAAGAAGTTACTTAAATTTATTGATGATAAATTCTGTATTTCACACACCAGTAGGCTTACTAAGTTAAAAATATATTTTAAAAAAGGAAGAAATGGTAGTAACTTCCTACTTTTGATAAGAATGTAAAAAAAAACATATAAAAGGCTTATCAAATTGAAAAACTGCTCCTTTTCTGGATGCTACAGGGTCTGTCTGTCCCCCAGATTCTGACAAGGTTTTATATGAAAGAAGCTTATAATTGTTTAGCAGGAACATTTCCATTGATGCTTTTTACTGTGGTAATAAAATAAATAAAGCATGTTCATCCATTTGATGCTCCAGCCCGTAGAGTGTGGGGCAAGTTCCATGAAACATCTTGAAATATCAAGGGAGGGAAAGATTAACAAAATACTGTTACATTTGTAATCGAGACCTCTATGAATGAAATCTATTTGCTTACATTGCACAGCACTGACAGGCTGTAAGTACCTGGTGAGGTGGTGACATCTGGGATCTGTTGGTGTATTTATTACATGTATTTTTTGCCAGAGGATTTTACTTACTGTGTATGTCTTGGAAAAAAATGTGTGGGGTGCAGCATCATATGGTTATGGGGTAATTACCATCTTAATGTATGTTGTCATTATGCTTACAACCCAGCCGTGCTTCAGATTGGCTGAAGGGTGTACAAAATCAGGAGAAAAAGGAACCAGAAAACCTGGAAGGTACCGTGGAAGGCTCCCCAGCAGCAGCAGCAGCAGCAGCAGCAGCAGCACTCATTGATAAGCAATACACACTAATACTATTAGAACTACTCGCTGTAGGTTTCTCCAGCAGCTTCTCCCGTCTCGTACCGCCCTGTGTGCACATAAACGCAGTGATGCTGCTTTCACGGTAAAGTTTAAAATCGCTTCAAACACAGGAACGTCTCCACACGTACCGCCTGATCTAGCTGGGTTAACGCTGCCGCAGCGGCTTTCCTTCTGGGATTTAACGCATAGGCTTTTGCGGGCAATCGCTGCGTCAGTGGATATTTCGCACGTCGTGTCTCTGGAATAAAAAGCCCGGGACTCAGGGCGCTCCGGTCACACCGAACGGAACCGAGAAGCAGCGAGTGGGGGTCACGTGCGGGAGGGAGGGGCGGG